AAATAGACTGGTTCCAATTCCAAGAAATTATAAAACAAGGGGCATTTTTTAGTAGAAGCTGGGATCCAGTTGATTTTGGGTATTTCGACCATGCTGATTACGAATTTTGAGGATCCCAAGCGAAATTAGCTCATTTAAGGGCTTAATTCAGCAAATAAGGGCCTAATTGTCAACAAAATCAGGTCAGGTCAGGCTCTAAGTCTGCTATGAGTAAAATGTAACCTCGTACTACCTGCCTCATAGTCCTACACCCCTGAGAAATCTAGGGTGCAGGCAACTCACCAATCCGCACTGAACCAGCGTGGTGAGTCATGGTTCACACCCACAACATGAATACACGCAACACACAACGGCCCTCAGTCCCCGGCAGCCGAAAGGCAGAGGGTGCTAAGAATCCCCGGGTTTCAAGAGTACAATTAAATATTTGCACCTACAACGTGAGAACATTGAAAGATCCAGAGAAAGAGAAGGAGCTAGAGCAAGAGCTGATAGGTTTCAAGTGGGACATCATTGGACTGTCAGAAACACGAAAGTAAGGAGAGCAACTGAAACAGTTGCAAAGTGGGCACGTGCTGTACACAATAGGAGAGAACGAATCTGTTGGAGGAGTTGGCTTTCTGGTCAACAAGAACATCAAGGACCGAGTTATAGAGTACAAAGGAGAGAGCAGCAGAGTGACGTCGCTTACACTGAAAGTGAACAGCAAATACCAACTACAAGTAATACAAGTGTATGCGCCAACATCGAGTCACAATGATGAAGAAGTTGAAGAGCTATATGAGGAGATTGGAAAATCAATGGAGAAGAATAAAAGTCAATACAAGATCGTAATGGGTGACTTTAATGCAAAGGTTGGACAACATCATCAAAGCGACGGAGCGACAGTTGGAAAGTTTGGTCTTGGAGAAAGGAACGAAAGGGGAACCAGACTGATGCAATTTGCAAAATCGAAAGGTTTGAAGATCGGAAATACCTTCTACAGGAAGAGGAAGATCAGAAAATGGACCTGGATAAGTCCTAATGGCGAAACCAGGAACGAGATCGATTATATTTTGGCAAACAAAAACATGATCCAGAATGTCAATGTCATAAAAAGGGTAAACATCGGTAGTGATCACAGAATGGTCAGAAGTAAGATCAAAATGAATACAAGACTGGAAAGAATGAAAATGATGAGACCAAAAGGAGTGAAAGTAAACATCAACGCCCTGAAACAAAGAGAGAATGAATTTCAACTGGAGTTGCAAAATCGCTTTGAAGCCTTGCAAGAAGAAGACAGTGTGGAGAAAATGGCACTTAACATCACAAAGACCATTAAGGAATGTGCTATGGAAACAGCAGGAAAAGAGGAAAGACGGCGAGAGGAGAAGCTCAAGCAGGAAACTAAAGAACTGCTAAAAGAAAGGAGAGCAATGGCAAAGAAAGATCTGAATGACCAAGAGAGAAGAGAGTACAACAAATTATGTCAAACCATCAGGAAGAGATTGAGAGAAGATCTTAGAGAGCACAACACCATGCGAGTGAAGGAGGCAATTGAGAGTGGGAAAGGATTGAAAAGAGCAAAAGAAAAAGAAGGCTGCAAAGTTCTTATACCAGCATTGAAAGAGCAAGATGGAACCGTCATCACCAACAGAGAGAGAATACTTGAGAGGTGCGCAGAATTCTATGAAACGCTATACAAAGATGCAGCCCAGAACATCAGAAAAGAAGAAGCAGAGGATGTACCACCAATCCTTGATAGTGAAATCGAGCATGCCATAAAAGGTATGAAGAATAACAAAGCACCTGGAGAAGATCAGATTGTGATTGAAATGCTCAAAGCCGGAGGTGAAGTTGTGATATCAAAGCTGAGAACACTCTTCAATAGAGTGATGACTGAAGAAAAGATACCCAACGAGTGGAAAAATGCCATTATAGCACTCATATTTAAGAAGGGAGACAAGAAAGACCTTGCTAATTATAGACCAATCAGTTTACTCTCCCAAGTCTACAAACTCTTCATGAAGATCTTGAAGAACAGGTTGAATAACAATCTGAGTGACCACCAGCCGCCAGAACAAGCTGCCTACAAAAGAGGTCATTCAACCATCGACCATCTGCAGTCAGTAGTGCAAATACTCGAGAAAACCAATGAGTATAAAATACCCATTCATATGTGTCGGATATTGAAGAGTGAACGCAGATAGTACACCATTTTGTTGTCTGCCTCGTGTATCAACTCTAACTTAGATTCCGGGGGGCCTGGGTCTTACATATGTGATAATAATTATAATCATAAAACATTACATCATTCCCCCTTTTTTTGACAACATAAACATAACATAACGTGTTTGTTCTTTGAGTCCTGTTCTCTTTGCATAGTATTTAAAAATAAAACTAAAGAAATAAAATAAATTCTCCTCCTAGTCTGTTGCTACAGCTGTTCCATATCTTTCAGGCATTCGCCTTTGTCTAAGAGGATATCTGTTTTCTCTGTTATTCTCTTCGACTGTTTCTGTTCTTTTGTGATTGTCATCATCAGACAAATCATCATCATCATCATCTTTATTACTACACATTTTGAAAAAGCTATTATTTCTAGTGACTTTCCTTCCATCTTGTCTTTCTGCTGTTACTCTGGAACCTTTACGATATATAACTTTGTAAGTAGTGCTTTCAAAGTTTGCAGAAAACTTGTTCTTTTTATCTTGTTTTAACAAAACTGTATCACCAACTTTGATATCAGAAATCTTTGTGTGTCTTCTTTTGTCTGCATAGCTTTTCATCTTCTCTTTCCCTACTGCATCATTTTCCTGAGCTTCTCTGTGTCTTTTAGATTTACTTGTCTTGATTAAACAAGGTAGTTTCCCTCTAATGACCCTATTGTATAACAGTTCTGAAGGTGCAATCTTTGTGGTTGCATGTGGGGTGGATCTATAACTCAATAAAAATCTTTGAAGTTCTTGTCTCCAATTTCTATTTTCTATACATGCAGCTCTAATTGCTTTTCCTAGAGGTTGGTTAAATCTCTCTACCTCTGAGTTCCCTTGGGGCCATAATGGTGTAGAAGGGTCAAACTTTATTCCTAGAGTCATCAAGTATCTTTTAAAATCATCACCATTAAATGGTGGACCATTGTCTGTTACTATTTCTTCAGGAAGTCCATGCATTGCAAAAACTTGATCTAATTTTGGAATAATGGTTGAAGCAGCAGTAGATTTTACAATTTCTGTTATGGGGAATCTAGAATAAGCATCTACAATAACAAGTACATACTCACTACTTGGAAGTGGTCCATAAAAGTCAATATGCAGTTTTTTCCAAGGTCCAGATGGCATAGGTCTCATTCGCAATGGTTCTGGTGCTTTTTGTGTTCCCACTGCTTGACAAGGTAAACAGCTATTAATCTCTTCTGTTACCAATTTTTCAATAAATGGAAACCAAACTTTTTCTCTGATCAGGGCTTTAGTCTTAGCAAGGCCCTGGTGACCCTCGTGAGCTAGTTTTACTGATCTTTTCCATAGTGATTTAGGCATGACAATTTGGTTTCCCCGCAAAATAATTCCATTTGCATGATTTATTGTCAATGAATCTTTGGCTAACTTGTAAGGTACTAAAAACTGGTTACTCCAATCTCCTGTTTTAATTGCTTTTATGACTGCTTGGAGTGTCCCATCCTTTTCTGTCTCTCTTTGTACTTCTTCTATGGTCATGGCTTTTGGTATCGCATTTATTGTTATATATCTCACATACTCATCTGCCATGTTTTCTTTGACACTGACTGTTGTAGGATGTCTTGACATGAAGTCAGCCGGATTATCTTTTCCAGGCTTGTAAATAACTTTGAAACAATATTGCTGTAAGCGGAGCACCCATCTTTCAATGCGTAATGATGGTTTTGATTTAGGGTTCCCATAAATCACCTCCAAAGGCTTGTGATCTGTTATCAGGTTGAAACTTTTTCCATAAAGATACATATGAAAATGCTCAGTACCCCACACAATACTAAGTGCTTCTTTCTCAGTTTGTGAGTATCGACGCTCCACAGGGGTAAGTGCTCTACTGGCATATGCAATCACTTTTTGAGGCTCATCTTTGTTTGATTGTGCAAGAATTGCAGAAATACCAAAGCTTAGTGCCTAAAGTCTGGTTTCTCCAAGTCTTTTTTGTGCTTGAGAGAGAGGAGTATTTGTTACCTTCCAGTGGACTTCTGCGAAGGAGACGGACTGGAAGGGGAATTTTTGCGACGGGTGGACAATCCCAAGTTCCTTACAACAAAAAATCGGCATTTCCGCTTATCGACATAAGTAGTAATAAAGAGGTACCACTGCATAGATAGAGTAAAATAACAACTTTTTGTTGCTTTTTGTAGGGAGGAAAAAACTTCTGAAAATTTTGTGACGGAAAGACAACTCGAAACTTGTCCAATAACTATGCACATGGGGTTTGACCTACCAACTAAACGATTGACATCAACTATTATTCATCTCTACTAACTGTTGATAAAAAAGGATTAACAATCTCAAACGACACTTTCCAGTCCGTCCGTCACGTCCGTCAGTCACGATTATCCATTGGTACTTTTGGCATTAAAATTTCCAAATGTTGAGAAATATAGTTGTTCAAAATGTTTGATGATGTTTCAAACTGATATTCAATTGTTAAGAATATTTCAAATTTATCTCGTTGGCTTAGATATAATATTTGAACACGTGAAATTAGTCTTTTCAGTTTTTTCTATCCCGTCCGTCCGTCCGTCCGTCACGACAGACATTTGTATCCTTTTAAGACGATAGAATTGCTTCAGCTAATCTACGCCTCCTTACAGTGTGACCAGATCTCGATTTTGGTTTTATGCCAAATTTGTCATAAAATATTGCTAGATTTGCAAAAATTATGCTAAATTTCGAATCAAGGCACCCCTGCTTGTAAAAGAGGCTAGAGGATGCTCAGAATATCAAAAGTGATCAAATCCATTTGGCTATTTTTGACCTCCAATCTAAAACACAGTGTACTCAAAATTGCCATCTTTTCTACACAAAAAGGCGATTTAGATTAATAGTTTTGACATCCAAATTTCTTAACCCCTTGGCCGTCATAAATTGATTTGGCCGAAGAAGCAAAAGTTGGCAGAATTCTGGCAGCAGGTTGCAAAAAATCACAAAAAAAGCAAAGGAAAATAAATTTTTTACATAGATTATATTCAAATTTGTTTTAGAATGATTTCAAAATTGCAAATAAAGAAACACAACGTAAAAGATAACAGACAATGTAAGATGAAAGTAAATGAAAGCTTTGTAACCTACAAAGCAAATTTTGATTACACTATCATTCCCCGCAATTTTCAAAAATTTAGCTTTTTTGTGTACTGAATTTAGCTGGCTGAATTTGGCTGCCAACCATAAAATATTTGGCTGCCAACCATAAAATATTTGGCTGCCAACCGTTCCAAACACCTGGCTAAACCCTGAAAGTGGAAAGTCACACATTCTTGTGTAAAGTGTTTCCATTCGGTGGTGATAGACAACAGATCAATGGAAACAGTGATTTTTTAAAAACTATCAAAATTATGCCAGAGTTATGCTAGATTCCAAATTATGCTAGATTTTATGCTAAATGACAATTTTTGGTCACTTTTATGCTGAAAGCATTATATTATGCTAGTAACACTGCCTCCTTGTGAGTTCTTTCATGACACAAAAGGAGAAAATTCTAGAATTAACGGTTAATTTTTGAGACCTTACGAAACTATCGTTTGTCGGTCCGTCACGGAAAATGAATTTTCTAATAGCCTCATTGTTTTTTATTTAAACCTCTTGGCGTATGAATTTTGATAAAACCCATACTGATGGAATAAATTAGCCCTATTCCCGGCAAGAGAAGGCAGTTTTCCAGTTTAATAATGTTCTGTGCAAGATAACAATTAATAATACGAGATCGGTTAGAATCCCGTTATAGATATGGTTTCCTAAGAACAAACAATTTTATCGAAAAGAAATAGTGGTATTGACAGATTGGCAAAGTAATTGAAGGTGTCCGACATTACTCATGACTACCCTTCATGTTTTCCCTTTGTTAAGCTTAAAACACCTTCAAGGCTGCAAGATCTTAGTTTGCTCCCGTGATTTGGCTACATGTTCCGTTTCCGAAATATCTTATGATGGCCTGCAACTAAGCAACATTTTGCATAGAAAATCATATTGATATCAGGCTTCCCATGATTGAAAGCAAACCCCATAATTGAAAACAGCATTTATGGAGATGATCTGAAACGTTCCAAAGACCAACTACTTCATCAAATGGGTATGATCTTCTCATGGCAATTCTGATCTTTCAATGAAGCTAAATAGACTGGTTCCAATTCCAAGAAATTATAAAACAAGGGGCATTTTTTAGTAGAAGCTGGGATCCAGTTGATTTTGGGTATTTCGACCATGCTGATTACGAATTTTGAGGATCCCAAGCGAAATTAGCTCATTTAAGGGCTTAATTCAGCAAATAAGGGCCTAATTGTCAACAAAATCAGGTCAGGTCAGGCTCTAAGTCTGCTATGAGTAAAATGTAACCTCGTACTACCTGCCTCATAGTCCTACACCCCTGAGAAATCTAGGGTGCAGGCAACTCACCAATCCGCACTGAACCAGCGTGGTGAGTCATGGTTCACACCCACAACATGAATACACGCAACACACAACGGCCCTCAGTCCCCGGCAGCCGAAAGGCAGAGGGTGCTAAGAATCCCCGGGTTTCAAGAGTACAATTAAATATTTGCACCTACAACGTGAGAACATTGAAAGATCCAGAGAAAGAGAAGGAGCTAGAGCAAGAGCTGATAGGTTTCAAGTGGGACATCATTGGACTGTCAGAAACACGAAAGAAAGGAGAGCAACTGAAACAGTTGCAAAGTGGGCATGTGCTGTACACAATAGGAGAGAACGAATCTGTTGGAGGAGTTGGCTTTCTGGTCAACAAGAACATCAAGGACCGAGTTATAGAGTACAAAGGAGAGAGCAGCAGAGTGACGTCGCTTACACTGAAAGTGAACAGCAAATACCAACTACAAGTAATACAAGTGTATGCGCCAACATCGAGTCACAATGATGAAGAAGTTGAAGAGCTATATGAGGAGATTGGAAAATCAATGGAGAAGAATAAAAGTCAATACAAGATCGTAATGGGTGACTTTAATGCAAAGGTTGGACAACATCATCAAAGCGACGGAGCGACAGTTGGAAAGTTTGGTCTTGGAGAAAGGAACGAAAGGGGAACCAGACTGATGCAATTTGCAAAATCGAAAGGTTTGAAGATCGGAAATACCTTCTACAGGAAGAGGAAGATCAGAAAATGGACCTGGATAAGTCCTAATGGCGAAACCAGGAACGAGATCGATTATATTTTGGCAAACAAAAACATGATCCAGAATGTCAATGTCATAAAAAGGGTAAACATCGGTAGTGATCACAGAATGGTCAGAAGTAAGATCAAAATGAATACAAGACTGGAAAGAATGAAAATGATGAGACCAAAAGGAATGAAAGTAAACATCAACGCCCTGAAACAAAGAGAGAATGAATTTCAACTGGAGTTGCAAAATCGCTTTGAAGCCTTGCAAGAAGAAGACAGTGTGGAGAAAATGGCACTTAACATCACAAAGACCATTAAGGAATGTGCTATGGAAACAGCAGGAAAAGAGGAAAGACGGCGAGAGGAGAAGCTCAAGCAGGAAACTAAAGAACTGCTAAAAGAAAGGAGAGCAATGGCAAAGAAAGATCTGAATGACCAAGAGAGAAGAGAGTACAACAAATTATGTCAAACCATCAGGAAGAGATTGAGAGAAGATCTTAGAGAGCACAACACCATGCGAGTGAAGGAGGCAATTGAGAGTGGGAAAGGATTGAAAAGAGCAAAAGAAAAAGAAGGCTGCAAAGTTCTTATACCAGCATTGAAAGAGCAAGATGGAACCGTCATCACCAACAGAGAGAGAATACTTGAGAGGTGCGCAGAATTCTATGAAACGCTATACAAAGATGCAGCCCAGAACATCAGAAAAGAAGAAGCAGAGGATGTACCACCAATCCTTGATAGTGAAATCGAGCATGCCATAAAAGGTATGAAGAATAACAAAGCACCTGGAGAAGATCAGATTGTGATTGAAATGCTCAAAGCCGGAGGTGAAGTTGTGATATCAAAGCTGAGAACACTCTTCAATAGAGTGATGACTGAAGAAAAGATACCCAACGAGTGGAAAAATGCCATTATAGCACTCATATTTAAGAAGGGAGACAAGAAAGACCTTGCTAATTATAGACCAATCAGTTTACTCTCCCAAGTCTACAAACTCTTCATGAAGATCTTGAAGAACAGGTTGAATAACAATCTGAGTGACCACCAGCCGCCAGAACAAGCTGCCTACAAAAGAGGTCATTCAACCATCGACCATCTGCAGTCAGTAGTGCAAATACTCGAGAAAACCAATGAGTATAAAATACCCATTCATATGTGTCGGATATTGAAGAGTGAACGCAGATAGTACACCATTTTGTTGTCTGCCTCGTGTATCAACTCTAACTTAGATTCCGGGGGGCCTGGGTCTTACATATGTGATAATAATTATAATCATAAAACATTACATCATTCCCCCTTTTTTTTGACAACATAAACATAACATAACGTGTTTGTTCTTTGAGTCCTGTTCTCTTTGCATAGTATTTAAAAATAAAAATAAAGAAATAAAATAAATTCTCCTCCTAGTCTGTTGCTACAACTGTTCCATATCTTTCAGGCATTCGCCTTTGTCTAAGAGGATATCTGTTTTCTCTGTTGTTCTCTTCGACTGTTTCTGTTCTTTTGTGATTGTCATCATCAGACAAATCATCATCATCATCATCTTTCTTACTAAACATTTTGAAAAAGCTAATATTTCTAGTGACTTTCCTTCCATCTTGTCTTTCTGCTGTTACTCTGGAACCTTTACGATATATAACTTTGTAAGTAGTGCTTTCAAAGTTTGCAGAAAACTTGTTCTTTTTATCTTGTTTTAACAAAACTGTATCACCAACTTTGATATCAGAAATCTTTGTGTGTCTTCTTTTGTCTGCATAGCTTTTCATCTTCTCTTTCCCTACTGCATCATTTTCCTGAGCTTCTCTGTGTCTTTTAGATTTACTTGTCTTGATTAAACAAGGTAGTTTCCCTCTAATGACCCTATTGTATAACAGTTCTGAAGGTGCAATCTTTGTGGTTGCATGTGGGGTGGATCTATAACTCAATAAAAATCTTTGAAGTTCTTGTCTCCAATTTCTATTTTCTATACATGCAGCTCTAATTGCTTTTCCTAGAGGTTGGTTAAATCTCTCTACCTCTGAGTTCCCTTGGGGCCATAATGGTGTAGAAGGGTCAAACTTTATTCCTAGAGTCATCAAGTATCTTTTAAAATCATCACCATTAAATGGTGGACCATTGTCTGTTACTATTTCTTCAGGAAGTCCATGCATTGCAAAAACTTGATCTAATTTTGGAATAATGGTTGAAGCAGCAGTAGATTTTACAATTTCTGTTATGGGGAATCTAGAATAAGCATCTACAATAACAAGTACATACTCACTACTTGGAAGTGGTCCATAAAATCAATATGCAGTTTTTTCCAAGGTCCAGATGGCATAGGTCTCATTCGCAATGGTTCTGGTGCTTTTTGTGTTCCCACTGCTTGACAAGGTAAACAGCTATTAATCTCTTCTGTTACCAATTTTTCAATAAATGGAAACCAAACTTTTTCTCTGATCAGGGCTTTAGTCTTAGCAAGGCCCTGGTGACCCTCGTGAGCTAGTTTTACTGATCTTTTCCATAGTGATTTAGGCATGACAATTTGGTTTCCCCGCAAAATAATTCCATTTGCATGATTTATTGTCAATGAATCTTTGGCTAACTTGTAAGGTACTAAAAACTGGTTACTCCAATCTCCTGTTTTAATTGCTTTTATGACTGCTTGGAGTGTCCCATCCTTTTCTGTCTCTCTTTGTACTTCTTCTATGGTCATGGCTTTTGGTATCGCATTTATTGTTATATATCTCACATACTCATCTGCCATGTTTTCTTTGACACTGACTGTTGTAGGATATCTTGACATGAAGTCAGCCGGATTATCTTTTCCAGGCTTGTAAATAACTTTGAAACAATATTGCTGTAAGCGGAGCACCCATCTTTCAATGCGTAATGATGGTTTTGATTTAGGGTTCCCATAAATCACCTCCAAAGGCTTGTGATCTGTTATCAGGTTGAAACTTTTTCCATAAAGATACATATGAAAATGCTCAGTACCCCACACAATACTAAGTGCTTCTTTCTCAGTTTGTGAGTATCGACGCTCCACAGGGGTAAGTGCTCTACTGGCATATGCAATCACTTTTTGAGGCTCATCTTTGTTTGATTGTGCAAGAATTGCAGAAATACCAATGGGACTGGCATCTACAATCAGGTATGTTTCTTTGTCAATATCAAAATATGTCATAACTGGACTGTCTGTCAGAACATCTTTGAGTTTCTTAAATGCTTGTGAGCGTTCCTTCTCCCATTTGAATACAATGTTTTTGTGAGTTAATCTTCTCAGTGGTTCTGTTATATCTGCAAAATTTGGTATGAACTTTGCACTGAAATTTGCCATTCCTAATAAACTTCTCACTTCTGATGCATTGTTTGGTATAGGAGCATCTACTAAATCTGCAATCTTCTTTTGATCTGGCTTGACACCATCTTCTGAAAATACCATACCAAAGAATGAAAGTTCTGGTTGTAAAAATTTACATTTTTCTCTGTTTACTGTGAGCTTTCTTGCCTTTAATCTTGCAAGACATTCATTCAATGCTTTATCATGCTCTGCTCTGGTTTTGCCAAAAATGATAATATCATCTGCTAAGTTTCTGACATTATCTATACCCTTTAAAGCTTCTTGTAATGTATGTTGAAATAACTCAGCAGCTGCATTCGTGCCATAGTTCAATCTTTTGTATTGGAATAAACCAATGTGCGTGCTGAATGTAGTGATATATCTGCTATCTTTGTGCAATTCTAATTGATGGTAAGCTTGACTAAGGTCAATCTTTGAAAAGAATTTGGCTCCATTTAATTGTACCATAATTTCGTCAACTGTGGGCATGACATGCCTAACTCTTTTTATGGCTGTGTTTGCTGAACGCATATCAACACAAATCCGAATTGACTTATTGTCCTTCTTTGGTACTGCAACTATCTGGGATATCCAAGGGGTTGCTTGCCCCTCTGGCACTCTCTCTATTATTCCTTGTGCTTCCAGACTTAGCAATTCTTCTTCTACTTGCTTTCTGATGTGGAATGGTATGCGTCTGGTATTTTGAACAACTGGAGTTACATTTTCATCAATGTTTAATTTAATTTGAACTCCATCTAACTTTCCTATTCCTCTAAAAATTTCTTTATTTGCAAGTAAAGCAGCATCAACTGATTTATCATGGGTAGATCTGATAGGAATCCATGAGCAGGTGGAAGCAATTTGTGGTTTCACATTTTTATCTTTCACTTTTGAAACCATTGGATTGATATGAAATGTAACAAGACCAAGTTCTTGGGATGTCTCTGAACCTAATAGTGAACCAGAGTTCTCTTCTGTGACATAAAATGTGGCTACAGTAATGCGCTTTTTGGTCTCCACAGTGGCTTGGAATTTTCCTAACAATTTCACAGGGCTGTTGCTGTTGTATGGGTACACTTTAACTGTTGTTTTCTCTAATTTAGGATCTGATGGTATCTGACTAAATGTTTCTTCATCAAGAATATTTACTGAGGCTCCTGTGTCCACAAGTAAATCACATTTGTAATCACTGATTTTGGCAGTAACAGCGTTACCAGGTTTTTTCTTCTGTTTCACAGCATAAAGGTAATCAAAATCTGAATCAGAATCACTTTGTGCTTTATTCACTGATTTTGTTGTAATTGGCCTAACATGTCTTTTGAAAGGCTGTGTTTTCCTTGGCACTTGTTGAGTTTTGCTCAAACAATACTTTGCAAAGTGGTTCTTTTTCCCACATTTATGACATATCTTACCAGCAGCTGGACAGGTCTGGTTTTTATGAGGGTAAGATCCTCCACACTGATGACATTTCTTTGTTTGTATATGTCCTTTCTTGTGCTGACTTTGTATTACACGATGCAGTTCTTGCTTTATTTCAGTGTTACCTTCAATTGCTTGCTGTGTACTTGTTTCATCTCTTTGGCCATCTAATAACATTTCTTTCAATGTGTATTTTGGATCTCGTAAAGCTTTCTTTCGTAAACGACTTGATGATCCATTTGTGACAATTTGTAACAATATTTCGAACTCTTTTCTATCCCCAAAGTCACAACGTGATGCTAAGTTTTGTAATCGAACATGGAATTGACCTAAAGTCTCATTTGGCTCTTGTCTGGCCTGGCGAAATAAATATGTTTCATGAAGCAAGTTCTTCTGTGGCTCAAAATGTCCCGTGAGCTTTTCTAACGCTGTTTTGTAATCATCTCCATTATCTGGGATTGTATTCAGGATATCTGCAACTGGTTCTCCAGCCAAATAAATCAACAGGGCTCTTTTTCTTTTATCATCTTTGATATCAGCAGCGACCAAGTACTGCTCGAATCTTGAAACCCAACGTTTCCATGCGTTACACGCGTTGGCAGGGTCTGACACTGCATCAAACGGAGGCACAGGTTGTATTGAACCAGCTCCTGCCATTTTTTTTCTTTCCTAGTTTATCCTCGTCGCCATTGTCGGATATTGAAGAGTGAACGCAGATAGTACACCATTTTGTTGTCTGCCTCGTGTATCAACTCTAACTTAGATTCCGGGGGGCCTGGGTCTTACATATGTGATAATAATTATAATCATAAAACATTACAGCTAGTACATAGTATGTATATACTTGTACACATGAATAGTGTTATGGGTGTTTTGGGTGGTATAGGTGTCGAGAGTGTTGGCTAGAACATAGTATGTATATACTTGTACACATGAATAGTGTGATGGGTGTTTTGGGTGGTATGGGTGTCGAGAGTGTTGGCTAGTACATAGTATGTATATACTTGTACACATGAAAAGTATTATGGGTGTTTTGGGTGGTATGGGTGTCGAGAGTGTTGGCTAGTACATAGTATGTATATACTTGTACACATGAATAGTGTTATGGGTGTTTTGGGTGGTATAGGTGTCGAGAGTGTTGGCTAGTACATAGTATGTATATACTTGTACACATGAATAGTGTTATGGGTGTTTTGGGTGGTTTAGGTGTCGAGAGTGTTGGCTAGTACATAGTATGTATATACTTGTACACATGAATAGTGTGATGGGTGTTTTGGGTGGTATGGGTGTCGAGAGTGTTGGCTAGTACATAGTATGTATATACTTGTACACATGAATAGTGTTATGGGTGTTCTGTGTGGTATGGGTGTCGAGACTGTTGGCTAATACATATTTTATATCTATACTTGTGTACTCGAAAAGTGATATTTCAGTGATTCCAATATCATCTTGAAAACGAGACAGTCTTTGTTTATACAATACTGTCTTTCATTTGTCTTTCAATTCTGCCAACTGTGAATCCTTGCTTTAGCTGCTTGGGGCTTTTTAATTTAGGCAGTTTTTAGTGAGAGGCTTTTAAAAAGCATCTTGAAGCTGTCATGTAAATAATTATGCATTGATAATTAAACTTAATATCTCTTTTTGAAATGTGAATCAAAGTGCTGATTTCAATAGATGTTTGGAATAAATAAATTCATTTAGATGACCGTGCACCTTTGTGTAGAATGAGTCAGAAAAAAAGATTTTCAAAGATAATACAATTGGCAGAAAAACTTAAAAAAAATCTTTCATTTTTTCTTAAATCTTAAATCTTTTATTTTTAAAAATTTGAGTTAAACGGCCAGAGATGTATAAGAGAAGGTACTGGCTGTATTTAATTGCAGTTTGAATTGTTATTCGTTTATTCTTTTCTTTTTCGTTTGAATGAGATTGGCTTTGTATTTTGCTTGTGTCTGATGCAGTCAACGCAATACCTAAAGAAAAAGAAACAGTTCATCAGTATAGTTATGATTCAGCTACTTGCAGTACAAAAGCGTGGTGCTGTTCTGGCTTATGATTTTATTCTTTTTGTACATAATTTGTTGTCTGCCTTTCATAGGCCTGCGATCTGCATAATTTGATTACAGACATTTCCAAACGGATGTATGTCTGTAATCAAGAATCCATTTTTCTCCTCTCCAGAAGACCCGTTAGGAAACGAAGGAGAGTTGAGAAGAGAACTGCAAAGTCGACAGCTGTCCATCTCTGGCAGATATCGGCCATCAGGACTTTGAATGGAATTCTTGAATTGAATGGAATCAGGAATTCGATTTCATTTGACGGGCAAGAATAACAAAATGTAAATGAATGCATATGCGTTTTTTTACCTGCTTTGTAATTCCTTGATTTCCCTTGCACTCATTAAATTTGCAGTGTAGATTCGTTGTTTGAGAGTTATCGATGGATACATGCGCATAACCGCATGGGTCACTAGCAGTTTCTTTACTTACAACAGCGTTACTCTTCTGGACTAGTTTTACCACTATTGTTGGCTGCCCCATTCTTTGACTGTTCTTCATTGACGAAGCAACTTTTTCTCCAACTGTGAACGATCCAATATCCTCTTCTGAAAATGAATCAACTCTGTATATTGCTCCCTTTGCTTGAATTCTTAAATGCTCACAACTGAATTCTGACAACTTCCCACTCGTTGCCAAAACACCTCTAATTTCCTTGCACGTTTGATTGTAGCAAAAGCGCTTTTCATTATCACTGCTATCTAAAGCAAATGCACGTGTATCTCTTGTAGATGTCATCACCGATAATAAAGTAACGTCACTGCCACTGTGCACCCGAACACATTTGAAATCGCTCAATTTTGCTTTTTTTCCAGGAATTGAAAAAGAGCCTCCCAGCTCATTCCCACAGTTCGAACAATTTTTAGGCTTATAACGCGATGCCTAACTTTGTGAACAAACGGGGCAAGTTCCTACTCTGCGTCTAGTTGCCTTCTGGATGTTTTTCTCAGCCATTGTGCTGCTGTAGTAGTCCCTACATTATAGACGAGAGGCAAATCACTCTACACCCTCTGTGAAAATCCTATTGTTTTATCTGAAAATCCCCAGAAATCCTTTTGTTTTAGGCAAAATCTGTTTGCAAGAGTGAATCGCCCCTCGATTATAAGAGTGGGATTTGCATTCGTAATGTTTCCTTTCACCTAAACGCTGGTCGGATTTCGCCCTTCCCCAATAGAAATACGCACAGTATGGTAAGTGTCTGACTTGAGACCCAGAGGCCCCCTGGTCACGAGAAGCAAAATATAGACTAACCCTGAATTTCTCCATTTTCAATTACATACAGGGGAGGGGGCCTTCACGCAAATTGAACCGACTGGCATAGAAAATGAACCAAGAACTGGGTCTGCGCGCAGGTTAGAATAAAATAAATAATAATTTGAAAATTTTTAACCACTCAATAATTCGCTTACTAAGTTTAGTGGTTATTTTGTATTTTTGAAGGAGATCTAAGGACATAAAATACAATTTTTAGCTTTGTTTTTGCCAAACCCTTTCATTAGCTATTAAACGAATTCAGAAAATTTCAGTACAAGGCTTTTGTGTTGAGGACACAGCACTAAAGTGGGATGCTATGGGGGTCGGAAGGTATGCTACCCCGGAAATTTTGAATTTTAAGGCGTCTTCTTTGGCACTGCTAGCCTTGATGTAACCTAATAAGCAGACAATTTGGATGTTTGATTGATTCATCCAAGATTATTCCTTTTGTTATCTCAGGTCTATGGGGGCCCGAATGGTTCAAAAGTATCCCTTATTAATAGAAGTATACTTGTATTAAATATTGCCACGTTGAATTAGTAAATGGCATTGCAGTATTAATTTTTGGCAATGCAATGAATTATACTTCTTTGCTTGCGAATTTAATAACCTGGCAACATTATCAGAATACACACTCTCAATTAATTAAATATGCACCAAAACAATTATTCAAGTGTTTACTTTGATAATTTATTTAATGTGCACTTTATTATTTAATTGAATGTTTTGCAATTAATTAAAGGTCTACTTTCAGAGTTAATTAAAGGTCTACATTCAGAGTTAATTAAAGGTCTACTTTCAGAATTAATTAAAGGTCTACTTTCAGAATTAGTTAAAGGTCTACTTTCAGAATTAATTAAAGGTCTACTTTCAGAATCAATTAAAGGTCTACTTTCAGAATTAATTAAAGGTCTACTTTCAGAATTAATTAAAGGTCTATTTTCAGAATTAATTAAAGGTCTACTTTCAGAGTTAATTAAAGGTCTACTTTCAGAGTTAATTAAAGGTCTACTTTCAGAATTAATTAAAGGTCTACTTTCAGAATTAATTAAAGGTCTATTTTCAGAATTAATTAAAGGTCTACATTCAGAGTTAATTAAAGGTCTACTTTCAGAGTTAATTAAAGGTCTACTTTCAGAATTAATTAAAGGTCTACTTTCAGAATTAATTAAAGGTCTACTTTCAGAATCAATTAAAGGTCTACTTTCAGAGTTAATTAAAGGTCTACTTTCAGAGTTAATTAAAGGTCAATTAAAGGTCTACTTTCAGAATCAATTAAAGGTCTACTTTCAGAGTTAATTAAAGGTCTACTTTCAGAATTAATTAAAGGTCTACTTTCAGAATTAATTAAAGGTCCACTTTCAGAATCAATTAAAGGTCTACTTTCAGAGTTAATTAAAGGTCTACTTTCAGAGTTAATTAAAGGTCTACTTTCAGAATAATTAAAGGTCTACTTTCAGAGTTAATTAAAGGTCTACTTTCAGAGTTAATTAAAGGTCCACTTTCAGAGTTAATTAAAGGTCTACTTTCAGAATTAATTAAAGGTCTATTTTCAGAATTAATTAAAGGTCTTTCAGAGTTAATTAAAGGTCTACTTTCAGAGTTAATTAAAGGTCTACTTTCAGAGTTAATTAAAGGTCTACTTTCAGAGTTAATTAAAGGTCTACTTTCAGAGTTAATTAAAGGTCCACTTTCAGAGTTAATTAAAGGTCCACTTTCAGAGTTAATTAAAGGTCCACTTTCAGAGTTAATTAAAGGTCTACTTTCAGAGTTAATTAAAGGTCTACTTTCAGAGTTAATTAAAGGTCTACTTTCAGAGTTAATTAAAGGTCTACTTTCAGAGTTAATTAAAGGTCTACTTTCAGAGTTAATTAAAGGTCCACTTTCAGAGTTAATTAAAGGTCCACTTTCAGAGTTAATTAAAGGTCTACTTTCAGAGTTAATTAAAGGTCCACTTTCAGAGTTAATTAAAGGTCCACTTTCAGAGTTAATTAAAGGTCCACTTTCAGAGTTAATTAAAGGTCTACTTTCAGAGTTAATTAAAGGTCTACTTTCAGAGTTAATTAAAGGTCTACTTTCAGAGTTAATTAAAGGTCCACTTTCAGAGTTAATTGTGTAGTATCCCAAGATGCAATGCTGTAAGAAGTTGGCGCCAAAGTGCGCAACAGAACAAGAACAGGAGCAAAGGCTGACGATCAAGCCCATGTGAGGCAAATCGCCCAGGAAGCGATGCAAAGCATTAGTCAGTTGCTGGAAATAATTGGAAGCGATGAAACAACTTCACGTGAACAGTCAAGAAGTACACATTCTGTTACAGGTGACAGCACAGTTGGCAGCAGTAGGCCTAGGCCAAGACAGGGTCAGCAACATGAGGCCTCAGGCCCGGGTCGCCCAGCATCAACAAATAACACCAATCGTTATCATCCATATGCTCAACATAATGGCCAAAGACATGGTTTGAATCGCACGAATAACAATCAATCAATGAATGCTGTATCTGAGCTGCGAAGACGATTTCCAACTGCTTTTGCTGCAACAAGGCGGCCTAGTTCTGCCAATTTCACAGGAAAAGCTTCAAGAGGTCGAACACCAGGTAGACCATTTGCTTCAAGCACTGCAACAAGAGATGTCATGGTTTTAAAAGCTGGAGAAGAAACTGTGCCATCAAGAGCAGAGAAACTGCTTCTGTTATTTGAGCATATGGAGGGTCTAAATTTACTTGATAATCTAAATCCTCCAAGACTGGCGCTGCATCTGGATCAATCCCATAGCCCTCAATATCTTCAATTGCTGTATGATCTGAATTTATGTTTTCCAGTATGCCTTGCTCCCACATTTGCCTTGGAGACAGATTTCTCTCTGTTGATAATGGGCGATTATTCATCTGTGCAACAAATTTCTCCAGTGACTTGTTGATTCGGGGTAAGAAGATGTAGTGAAGGCAAAGCAATTCTCCGTCGTTTATTGGGTCAAGGATGTTATCATGCTCCAATTTTTTCAAATAATTTTGCATAAAATATAAGCACACCACAGTAAACATCTCGATGTGTACGTTCTTCACGACTGTTATGGACTGATGAGCCAGTGATAATGCTTCCTCTGTCGGTACCCCTGTTCTCAATCATATACATTCCCACAAGATAGTTTTCCATGCCATGATCACTTCTGAAACGGGATGGCAAACCCCATCGTGAAACTCCGTCCTCAAACAATGCAAGAACTGTTTCTGCCTTGCTATTGTTTTCACATTTGCAGTAAATAATCACTCTGGTTTTACAATCAATAGCTACATGAACAACGAACTTCCATCTGATTAATTTGTGGGCCGAGTCTATGTGCCAAAGACTATTAGGCGTTGGGACAAAGTATTTGCGGCGATGTATCACCAATCGCCACCGCAATGCACAGCCGATCGGATCAACTCGGCGTATGCATTCGCTTACCCGACAACGCTGTACCCTTATCGCACGACTCCTTAAGGCACCCATAAATTGTCGCCTGCCAAGATTTGGTGTCCCTAAATTTGACCCTTCTTGGCTTGTCAAATTGGCGTAGATAGCATCAAGTTCATCATCTGTAACGCTGCTAAATCGCTCTCTTCTATTCCGTATTCTTTTCTTCGTCGCTTGACTGTGGAATAACTGACATTCAGTAATTTGGCAATTTGCTTCCAAGTAAAGTGAATTGGACGTAAATGTTCCAGCTGGTCCCTGGTTATATCCAAGTATGGTCTACCAAAGTTGTGGCTGCCCTCTGCATTTTGTGAGCGATACGCATCTTCTTGTTGCTGTAACTCTGCCTGCTCTTTATGAATGATTTGCGAAATATAGTCCATGACAACAGAAGGTTTAACAACTTGAGTGCAACGACTCTTCCTCTTGTTTCAACAGGGAGTCCGGAAGTTGGTCTAGCATTGCTGCTTAAATCTTCGATCAGTAAAGTGAAGGTTGCAGATGAGTCCAAAAAATGCTCTTCCAACTGTTGCAAATCTTCTGTGTTGATTGAGGGAACATCCTCCGAAACGAAAATACGCAACATCGATTGCAAGCTACGAAGAAAAACAGACAACCCTCTTTCGTTCCTTTCCCTGAGTACGCACCCATTGCGCCTTCTCTGACGAGGCATCACTTTCGCTTAATCAAGGATCAGGTACTGATAAATGTTTAGGCCACTGCTAGGCCTTTTCCGTGCTCAAATCTTGGTTTGCATCTTGGGATACTACACAATTAATTCTGAAAGTAGACCTTTAATTAATTCTGAAAGTAGACCTTTAATTAATTGCAAAACATTTAATTAAATAATAAAGTGCTCATTAAATAAATTATCAAAGTAAACACTTGAATAATTGTTTTGGTGCATATTTAATTAATTTAGAGTGTGTATTCTGATAATGTTGCCAGGTTATTAAATTCACAAGCAAAGAAGTATAATTCATTGCACTGCCAAAAATTAATACTGCAATGCCATTTACTAATTCAACGTGGCAATACTTAATACAAGTATATTTCTATTAATAAGGGATACTTTTGAACCATTCGGGCCCCCATAAATTTGTGCAGTGATAAGCTGAAAACGTGCAGTGATAAAAACGGTGCTTTGTCATTTTCGTCATACTTGGAAAAGGGTCAAGACTTTTTCTGTATATACATATTGCAAAGTTTGACTGCTTGACCGACTCTAATGCATTTCAGAATTTTTAGAATTTTCCGACTTTCAGAATTCTGAATCAGACAGAATTTCAAAATGTCACAAAGATCATCAAGATTGTTTTAGAAGAGTCTTGATTGAGTTCCAAAACCTATTCAAGTGTTTATATTTCCCAGAATGAAACAGGAAGGAGGCGTAAAAACAAGATAGAATATTTATCGTTAACTTAACGTTGGTATAAACATCTTATTAAGAACGTTCTCAAAAGCAAAATGACTTCAAACTACTGAACAATGTCGTCCAAGAAGCAAGGTACGATTGATAGATTTTTTAATTCATAAACGACTGGAAAAAAGACATCAAAAGACATGAAAAGACAGAAAAAGAAGTTAGCGAGGACGAGGAAACAAGCTCTAGCCGCAACACGTGCGATGATTCTGTCATACTTTGCTCTTCCGTGCAGAGAAACGAAGGATGCGTTTACACGGGGCCGGCCGAATATTTGGTCGGCCAAAAATTTGGCCGGCTTTTGAAGCCGGCCACAAATGCGTTTACACGGGGCCTCTCAATTGACCTGATTGTTATGACTTGCGCAATGTGTCAAAAACTTGAAGCCAAAAATCATTTTGAACAAAGAGCCAACAAAACAACTTCTCTCATTCTCTGTTCTCGTGTGCTCTCTTCACAAAATTCTGTTTAAAGCGGATGGCTGACGTAACTGCGATCAATGATTGGAAATTTGCGATGTTTGCTATGGTTTTTATTTTTTAATTTCAGTCTTTCGACGAAAGTCATTCATATTTTCAGCAAAGCAGAAGCTACAAACGCAAAATCTAACCAGTGACTCTAACCAACAACAATACATTAATTTCGGCCCCAAAATTTCAATTTCTGATTTTGTGTTTGCCTCCGTAGCACGCATCGCACCCTTTTTTTGGTACCGTGCAAATATTTGGCCGGCCATAATCGTTTACACGAGGCCGCTCGCGAATTCGACCGGCTAAGTTTCAAGAAAGACGCTCTCCTAGGTGGCCGAATATTTGCACGCCTAAGTGACCTAATTTGAGGTCGTTTAGCCGGCCCCGTGTAAACGCAAGGCCTAAGTGACCAAATATTTGACCGACCAAATATTCGGCCGGCCCCGTGTAAACGCAGCCGAAGTTGATGCCGAGCCAAAAGCATTGACCCATTCAAAGGTAGATACACAAATCAGTGACAAATGTATCCAGCGTGTGCCAGGACCAAAAGCTAAAAGAAAGCGTGTGCTGTGTGCTGTATGCCTACCGTACCCCACCATACTGAAGCGTTTTTGCTACAGGGGTAGAGTGCCACCAATTTGTCTTCCCGAGGGCACAGAGGCAAGAACTCGCACAATTCAAGAGCATCTACAAAGTGAAGCACATAAAGAATGCCTCGAAGCCGAGCGCTTGAAGAAACTTTCATCTGTCGAGAAATCTCAACTGTGCCCTTGGTTAAGATGTTGAGTTCGCAGCGCCAGAAATTGGCCAACAAGATAGGGTCACTAATAATCCATGTGTACAATGATGCGAAATGTTTTACATCATCGGCATTTTCTTGGCCATCAAGAGTAGTTGCCGCAAAACTTGCTCATGAATTCATCTACAATCAACCTTTCCAACCATACACGCCTTCTGACTTTGATCTGCAGTATATTCGACCCCCAGTTGTACAAGAACTTTTGCGCACTATAGTCAGTTCTGACCTGCCAAAGCTCAAGAAAGAAACTCATTCCTGCATTGCTGCATCTCTTCGCTTTGATGCGTCCATGGATAAGACGCAGAAGGATCATCAATACATGCTACTTAATGTAGTCGATGAAAATGGGAAACCAGATCTCAAGTTTATTGGCATTGGACACGTGACTGATCCTGGTGCCTCTGGGCATCTCGCAGCATTGAAATTGGAGGGAGACGATACTGTTGGCTTCGACGAAGTAATGAAAGTGATAACTCATCTTTCAACTGATGGGGAAAATAAGAATGTTTGAGAGCATCGTGGTCTCTGGAAGCACCTGGTTGACGACCGAAGGAAATTAGACATCGACACTCCCCTCCTAAAGTCTGTTTGTGCATACCCGTTCACCCGTTGTTTGTGCAGTGCATTCAACTGCAAATGCATACAAAGACTTATGTAAGAGTGTCCCAGAAATTGATCACTTGGTAAAGAAATTAGCAGCAATTTCTACCTATTTTCACGTTTCAGCAAAACGAACCAGTGAGCTGGAAAAAGTTGCAAATTGGAAGGGCTAACAGTGGGTCGTTTCCAAAAGTATTTTGAGGTCAGATGGACAGAATTTACAGCTGCTCTTCTTGATGCTATTCTGTGCTCGTGGCAAGCACTCATAATAGTTCAACGTAGAGCCATGCGATGCTGAAGGCAAAAAGTTTCTGAAGCTTCTTACCAACAATGACAACCTTCTTTTGATGTGTTTTGTTGCAGACCTGCTTTTCTTAATCAAAGTGTTCCAAAAGAAGCTTCAAACTGGATCCTTGCTGGGAGGTTGGGAAAATGAATTCAAAGAAAGGTATGATGAAGAAGCCAATACGTTTTGCGGGATCAAGCTTTGGGAGAAGGAAAGACGCCGACCAGATGCCAATGTGTTTGTAACGGATCGCAGAAAGTTTAATGCTATTCGGAACGAATCAGTGATAGCAATCAACACATTCGTAGACAAGCGACTTCAAGTGGACAGAAATGCTTCCAAATCATTTACCCCGTTTGTTAAGATAATGGCCACAGAAGATGAAATAAAAGAAGTTCACCGCTCTATTGCTCCTGACTTGGATTTGGCAAATGTAGCCATTCAGTATCAGGATCTGCAATATTGTGCCGAAATGCAAAAGGCCGATCCCTTTCAGCATGCTGCAAAACATGCTACAAGGAGCAAAGGAAATTATTACTGCTTGATTGCGAAGGTTGACCTCAACCTAGTATATACGTTTGTTTGTGAAAGTCTATAGGCTATATTTGCGTTGATTTGCGTATCTATAATGAGACACTGTTACCAGATCACGGAATGCTCTGTGAAACGCAACAGCTCAGTTTACTTGACTTTTCTTTTATGGTATCCCTGTTTACTAGTAATGCTAACGTTATTTTTCATACTACTGGCAGTGGCGTCGCGTAACCATTCTCGCTGGGGGGTGTAAGAGGTGCAAAATCATATTTTACCGACAGAAATTATTTTGTTACATTAATATTTTGCTTCAAATTTATATTTACCGACAAGCTCTCTGAAAGTTGGGGGTGTACACCCCCCCACACCCCCCCGCACGCTACGCCCCTGACTGCTGGCCTCGCGATAAGCTCAATATCTCAAAATAACCCATATTGAATTTGCAGGATCCTAAGCCATTTTAAGGCCTCAGAAATGGCAAAATCTCACGAGCTTCCGCAAATTACTTCTTATTTCCTACAGCCATCGTTGATTTCTTGTAAAATTTGCAGTGATAAAATTTCTTTAAAATTAGGTATGATATACAGCCACACAATATACAAATCACAGGTCTAACATTTCATAATCATAAAGTTCAGTTTAGATTTTAAACGTCAAAATAACATAAAGGCCAGAACTAAAGCAATAAGAATGCCATTATAGTCCCAAAAAAATAAAAAGATATATTTCTACAGGAAATATACTTTAAACAGCCATACTCTTTGAAGGTAAATCAATAAATCTTTCTTTTTTAATGCCGAGGTTCTGTTGGCTACCATTGGTAAACTAACTGGATACAATAAAAATGACAATTGAAAATGTTTCTTCTTGGGCTTTAAACTCACTGGTTTGCTTGTATCACACATATTACAGCCATTTTTGTAGCTAAACGGAGATAGAAGTGTATAACATAAATTGAATTAAAATTTTCTTTTATTTCTAGAAGAAATAATCAGTAAAAAATGGTGATTGAATCTACCATTAATTGGCTCTCTCATTGATTATGCCTTTCTTATCAAGAACAAAGAGTTGTTAAGTTCAGTTCAGTTTCATAATTTAAAATTCCGCTACCTAAAATTCAACATGCAAAAGCTAGACCAAGGCTAGACAAATCTACTTTACACAGAAATATCCAGGAAACAGAAATTCAATTCGCAGAAAGTAAATCACGGTTCTACTCTATCGCTACGATTATTTATTCAATTCGCGCGAAAGAATTTGCCTAGTGGGAA